CACCCAGTTTAATTTGATGATATAGGATCGAAGGCTAAAACTGAGCCAAAATTATTTCACAGCACACAAGAAGGAAGATGACTGTGAAAGATCAAAACATAAGACTGAAGGAGTACTCAAAGTTGACCAAGAAGGTTACAAGGAACTTGTAGTACTCTGCAAGGCCATCGTACACTGAGACTGTAACATAGGGAAAACAGCGGAACTTGGATAAAATAAGCCCAACAAAGGAGTGATTAAGCTACTGAAAGAGCTGGTAACAGGGAGTTCCATGGGTTGCAACAATACATATCCACGAGTACTGAAGGAAGGTGCAGAACCACTGTTGCGAATATCATTAGAACATATTTCAAAAATAGGGAAGGCTGATAAGATAGTGCAAATGTTCAGGCAGTGGGATAAACAGGAGTCACTGAACTATATAACATTATCCTTGACGTGTATGAAGGACAGGGTTCTGAGGAGGATGATGGAGCATCTAGAGTCTAGTTGCTCCATCACCATTTTCTCCAAAACCACACGTCCTGTAGCTCAATGCCTCCTGTCTATCCCACTGTTAGATTCTAGATTTTAGAGAAAGGCTTCACCAGAGAGAACTACCATGGTTTCAGGGATGGAAAGTGTTGTGTTAGGAACCAGCTGGAGTGGGCAGGGGTTGCGAGTGGAGTCCTCCAAGGATTACTGCTTGGACCACAGTTTTTTCCTGCTATACGTTAAGACCTCCCGGAGAAAAGTTAATCCAATGTCACACATTATGCAAAATTAATACCGAGAGTAACTGGTGAAGTAGCCAGACGACTTGAAGAAGCTGCGTGTTTGGCGAGGAAGATAACTACATGAATTCAATCATGGTATGTGCAAAGTCATGAGATTATGAAAGGGAAGCAAGATGACCCGACACGTAATACAAGCTGGGAGTTGTGACACTGAAGATAAACAAGATAACATTCTCCACCTGACTCCCCACACTGTATGTACTCTACCCAGGTAGATTTGTTTGTGACTTGATAAAGGCCACTGTGTCGGCAAAACGTAGTCAATAAAGGATCACATTATATTGTATTGGTGTTTATTTTCCCACCAAGAAGGAAGATCTGAGAATGAGTATAGCACCAAATTCATTACCCAAAATACTCATCGACCATACTTCCTTCCCTATGAGATGTATGCGAGAACCATGACAAAAGAATTAGGACGCTATACTCGGGTCTCCTAGAGTATACAGTGTCAGTATGGACAGCCGCACCTGATCAAGCCTAAAATGAATCCAGAGGTCCAGTAGTTGTCAAGGAGGTTCGTATCGTAAGGGGGGAGGGGAGGAAGCACTATAAGGAGAGGCTTAGGAACTCGACTCCACACCACCAGAAGAGAGAAGCAACAGAGCTGATATAATCATTAGTTGGGCAGTTACTTATCTTCATGGCGTATGTAATAGTGTTCAAGAAACTTCTGGGTCATGTTTCCTTCCTTTGCGACCTACCACAACACTACTGCAACGCTTAACTTTGTGTAAAATGTTAAGCTTGAAAGTTTCGACTGGTGTGATTATGCATTTGTAAATATTCCAATTTTATTACTGGACTGCGTAACAGTAGACAGACAGACAGACAGACAGACACCTGCCCGTCTGCCTGAGGCAGTCATGACCAGTATATCACCGTATTTCCTTCAGACAGTCCTTACCTCTCCTTGTTTCCCAGTACACACCTTCTCGGATAATTTTAGCTGTCACGGTTACAGTGGCGTAGTTTCGGGCATGTGTGGTTTGGTGCTTGCGTGTAAGAGATGCGATGAACATCAAAATGGTATACAATACCGACAGGTTGTTAGGTAAGACACATATGCAACAGTTAGACAACTTTATTCCGAAACGTTTCGCCTACACAGTAGGCTTCTTCAGTCGAATACAGAAAGTAGGCAGGAACAGTAGAGATGTGAAGACGATGTAATCAGTCCATCACCCTTGTAGTCGTAGAATTTGAGGTTGTCAGTCCCTCCCCTGTTTTCTGTACCAAGATGCCATGTGTTGCAGTGTCTTGTCAGACACTGCAACACATGGCATCTTGGTACAGAAAACACCTTGGACAAGCTTTTCAAGTGAGAAGTGTTGGATCTGAGAGGGACATGACCTCTCAGTGGCTACATTCTCATTACTACTACTACTACCCTGCACCTCTCCTTCCGACAGTCTCCGCACTGTCGCTTGATCTTCAGATAGTTCCTGACTATGGAACTGAACTTCTCCAGGCCGAGGGACTGACAACCTCAAATTCTACGAATACAAGGGTGATGGACTGATTACATCGTCTTCACATCTCTACTGTTCCTGCCTACTTTCTGTATTCGACTGAAGAAGCCTACTGTGTAGGCGAAACGTTTCGGAATAAAGTTGTCTAACTGTTGCATATGTGTCTTACCTAACAAGAGATGCGATAGAACGTGCGTGGAATGGATGGTGCGTGGCGTGGAATGGATGGTGCGTGGCGTGGTTGTGATGGTAGAGGAGGAGCAGAAGGTGTTCCTAGATATCTAGTGCAGTGGGGAGTGCCAGAAGGGCCACGTGTGTGAATGCCAAGTGCCAGCAACGGTGCCCAGGCCCAAGAGATGATCTTGGCTATTCATGCACCCAGCAGGAATAGCCTGATCAGCACTTTGACTCCCAGCACCTGCTGCAGCGCCTCGACTCCCAGTGCTCACCTGTCCTTCACTAAGGTTCCCCTCCCCCCATAAGATCTGATAATTCTTACCTTTTCCTAGTCCAGAAGGGGCTGCAGCAACTCTAACAGACCCTTCAGCAGGGCTGATAACGATTCCTCTAGCCCTTCAGAGGATCTGTAAGGGCTGGTAAGCTGTTAGTATTCTCTCAGAGAACTCAGACTGGCTAGTAATACATTCCTTCCTTTAGGAGGACCGAGAACGGGCGGTCAGATTCCAGCAGCTCCTCTTGGTCACTCCATAATCCTCTTGCAAGTTACAGGAGTGTTCATCTATTTTCTACATCTATCCCTAGTATTATTTTTCCCCTTCCCATTCTTTCCAGTGGATAGTTCACTAAGTATCGTTCCCAGTCTTTCCTCTGGATAGTTCACTAACTATCGTTTGGTACGCATAAAGGAAACAATACTTTACAAAAGTAATGCAAGTGGCGGCTGTGCACTTGAAGGATGTTGTTTGCTTTCCAAGTATTGACTACCTTAAATGGTCAGTACATATCACTTCGAAGGATGGGTTCACTTGTAAGGGAGAGTTCACTTGGAAGGGTTCACTTGTAAGAGTGAGTTCACTTGGAAGATATAATTCACTTGGGGATGGTTCACTTGGAAGGTAGTGTTCAATGTCAAGGGGCACTGGTTACTTTGACGGGGCTATGGTTCACTTTGAAGAGGCTATGGTTCTCTTTGACGGGGCTGTGGTTCACTTGAAGGAGTGGCATTGTACTTCAGATGTGTGGTAGTTCACTTTGAAGGAGCAGTGGTTCTCTTCAGAGGGACGAAGGTGTATTAGTAAGGGACGGTGCGACTGAATTCTTCAGTGAAGTAAGACTCTTGAAATCTGTCACAGGTATACTACTGTTTATGCCATTGTTTATATTGGCTGTGGCACTAAATCTATTAGGTCGTTTTATTGAGCTGACGTGTTTGTGTCGTGCTGTTAGTGGCATTCTGTTGTCTTCCTGTTGTAGAGATTTGTCTACCTGTTGAAGTGCTGTTGCCTTCATGTAGTTGCTGTTCTTCAGTTGCTTAGCTTGTTCTTTTTCTGTTTTTGTTGAATTGCTTGCGTTTTCTTGATACGTTTTTTGTTTTCTGTTGTGTCTTCTGTTGGTTTCCTGTTGTTGGGTGAGTTGTGTGGGGTTGCAGTTGAGCGACAATTGTGGGGTGTCAGCGAAGCTCGACTAAGCCAGGGAAGTGGAAGCAACTGCCAGTAATCTTGGCTCTTGTGCCATGCAGTGTGGGGAGGGAGATGTAATATGGCTTTCACAGGTAAAGTAAGGCAGGTGGTACTTACTGTCCTCTTGCCTCCCACCACCAGTCTCCCGCTGCCTGACCAACCAGGCTGTGGTTCGTATGTTAGATTGCGTGCGGCCGGCGGTAACAGCTTAGTTCATCAGGTCCTTGATCCACCGCGAGGCCTGGTCGTGGACCGGGCCGCTGGGACATTGACCCCCGAAATACCCTCCAGGTAGGCAGACCAAAACAAACATAGCACCCATACTTAACCTTGCTCATGATGTTGTAAAGTTATTAAACTATCTTAGAATTTCCCTAGCTATGTTCTCCTAGAGGTAGACGTGAGGTGATGTTCAGGAGAACCAAACATCGCAATAAGAGAGGTACAGGAAAGTACTGTGTACATTAGTACTTACACAAGGTTAGGTTTACATTAGGTCAGGTTAGTATAAGCTAGTCAGTCATAAGCGAGTAGAAAAAGTATGATGTGTACGGTACTAACGTCAAGTCCACGGGTTACTTTCGCACATTAAACCGAACATTTACATATAAACTATAAAAAAAAATACGTAACCGGGAGGCCGGTATCTGGCGGGAACAGCAGCCGGCTCGACACTTGTCCTTGGTGAATACGTTTGAAAAGAGACGATGGTTACGAGTCACTGTAGTTGTACCTAAGGTTCGTTCCTTCCCTAACACGGCCACTAGAATGGTACATTGCCCTACCGTGGTACTGAGGAATGTTTCTGCCCTAACACGGCTACAAGAATGGTGCAATTTCCCCTCAGATGACCACTCAAACACCTTAATACAGTTTCCCTCCAATTAGGTGGCCAGAGGGGGCCACACTTATCACTGTAGTTCTCTTGGCCTCACATGGTCACAAATTGCTTCACGTAACAGCTGTTCGACAGAATGCCTCGATACGGTTTGAGTTTAGGTATCCATCGATAAACTATTTGAGGTGAGGTGGCGGAAAATACCACTGAAGTGAGATGGGCAGAAGAGTAGTTGAGTTAGTGTGAGTGTAGAGGGTGTGAAGAAGTGACTCACTGAGTGGACAGCAGCGTGGCAGGGCTGGTGTGTTGTGTGACAGTGGTGGTAGACTGGCCTCACTCTTTATACCGGGCCCCCCACACCTAACACTGCTGGTTATATACGGATGTTCCCGCACTGCTCCACGCCCTCTCCAACCTCATCCCTCCCCTCCCCTCACCAACGTCTCCCCTCTCCAGCTTCATCCCTCCCCTCACAAACCTCTTCTCTCCTCAGCAACCTCTTCTCTCTCCTCAACAACCTCTCCCCTCTCCCAACTTCATCCTTCTCACCAACTTGTCCTTAAACTGATTTTTTTTAGTTATCGTAGGTAATTTACACTATGTACGATAATTGTACTCGTATGTACCTGTTCCTAAATAAACTTACCCTCCTTTTCTCTCTCTAACCTCAGTCGAGAAAACACAGTACCTTAACCATAATATAAGAACTGAGTGTTCAGTTGTCAGTGACTAGGCCTGGTGGAATGAGGTACTTGGACCGGTGTAAATTATCTGCTCTGGGGCACTTGAGGATATCCTCATTGTCCAACCTGAATTTGCCAACACTCAATATTAGCAGCCTGGTGATACCCATTTGTTTGCTAATACATACTGTGTATGTATGTTTATACTGTTTATAGTTTTTATTCGTTATTTTATGTATCCTTTTCTTCTTGTTACTTGTATTAATTTGATGTTTAGCATCTGTTGAGATCTGATTGTTATAATTGATTTTCTGTGTGTTCACTGTCTGATAATGGTATTATTGAATAAATAATCCAAGTAACAGTACTGGTTTTCAGTCTCTCTCTCTCTCTCTCTCTCTCTCTCTCTCTCCCTCTCCCCTGCTGTCAGCATCCGTGGTTCAAGACTCTTCAACCTGCTACCGACACACCTGGGATATATTGGAGGAACGAGTATAGACGTGTTTATCACAGCAGAAATAAAAAGTCTGATAATTTATGGCCTTTTACTGATTTTTTTTTAAAGTGATCAGTTATGATGGGTGTGTGGGGCTGCGGGCCGCTAGCACCAACAGCCTGGCGGAGCAGGCGCAGGTAGGACAACACTGGAAACAGGTCACAAGTATGTTTTTCGTTAACTTTCGTTTTTCGTTACTTCATTGTTTAGTTTCATTCTTGATGATCTGAAGAATGTAAACTTTGTTGTTGAGCCATCAGGGGTGAAGGGTTCTTGCTCCAAGGATGTTGAGCTGCCTTCCTAGAACTTGATCCATTTCCCTTACCTAGCCCCGTTCAGGGGCTGTTCTGGTCTCGTTTTCGGGGCTAGAGAGAGAGAGAGAGAGAGAGAGAGAGAGAGAGAGAGAGAGAGAGAGAGAGAGAGAGAGAGAGAGACCGAGACAGAAAAAAGACCAAGAGAAAAATGAAGAGACCTATAGAAAGAAAAAAGAGAACAAGAGAGAGTGTGAGAGAGTGAGCACGTTCAGTCTCGTGCTCCTCCACAAAGTAGTGACTGGTAGTCACATGTCGTGTAGTGTCTGCAGTTAGAGACAAGCATTAACTGTTAAAACTTGTGTGTTGACCCTGGTTCCTCGTCTCTTAAATACGATATATATATAGACTTGTCTCTAATGCTTAGTACTTACCTCACACTTGACTAGTATGGAGATTAACACCTAGCATGTTACCTTTCTAAGGATAGGAGGAAACCTAGCAACAGCCTGGTTGACCAGGCTAGCACCAGACGAGCCTGGCCCATGGCCGGGCTCCGATAGTAGTAAGACACTTGAAACTCATGGTATATCCCCTTCTCTCACATCCATTGCCCATACCCCTTCTACCGCCCATCTCCCTTCACCCACGTCCCCTGTCCCTTGCTTCCCCTACTGAGTGTGTCTCTCCCATACTTTGGTGATGGTAGGACACACTCGCTACACCCCACTTCCCTCTGCTGTTAAGTAGGTCTTGGCTTCTGAGAATCATATATGCCAAGAGTCCACTGACTTTCCACAAGGCCTCTTGTTTTTTTTAAGTTTCGTATATACACAGTTAATCTTGACAGAGAAGATCTGTTTACGTGCCTCAACTCAGTTGCAGAGCTTGGTAGCTACCAGTGTGTCTACCATGCAGACTCCACTTGGTAAGTCTACAACGTTTTACACCCTGGATCTTGTGCTTATTGTGCAACATCTGGGTGGATCTTTATATGAACATAAGAAAGGAGGAAGAACACTGCAGTAGGTCTACTGTCTCATACTTGGGAAGTCCTCAAACAAACCCACTAACAAGAATATTCGCCCAACCCAAATTATCAGTGTTAATGGTAAACAGGTGCGGACAAGTTGGTAAGACACGTGTGTAACATCTGCGTATCTTCATTCTGCAGACGTTTCGCCGACCACTGGCTGGCGGAACGCTCACAGGTATACCAGAGGTATTTGGTTCATACCTTATTGCCTCAAGGGAAGCTATGAATCCTTAGACATTGAATTTGAAAGACGTTAGATACGTCTAACACTATTATAGTGGCAGCCTTAGCATGTTTTTAAAAAAAATAATGCATCACCAGCGTGATGTATCATATTCTGTATGATAGTGACACAGTGGGAACACAAGGTAGCTGCCATGTTATATTCTATCACACAGGATGGGTCACAGAGTGCTGAAATCTCAGTATGAAGTAAGAGACTTCGGTAAGGCGATGATGATATCCAATATTTCATTAAGTTTGATTAGGTGAGGATTAGAATAATTTAAGTAAAGGTTTTGATTGTATTAGATTAGGTGATGGGTTTCATTAGGTAAGATGGAGTTAGGTTATGAATTTGGTTACGTTAGGTAAGTATGTGAGTGGTTTGGTTAGTGTAGGCAAGGGCTTCCTTACGTTACGTAAGAGTTTCATTAAGTTAGGTAAGTGTTGAATTAGCTTAGATATAGGTTCAGTTAGCTTAAATAAAGTAAGGAGTATATTAGACGAGAATTAGGTTAGGTGTATTAAGTAAGGATTGTTAGATGGTGGTACTTCTCCTCACCTTAAGAGCACCTGCTGTTAGTACTACGTTCACATCTCTGGCATTATTACCAAGGTTTTTAAGACACTTATGGTGCCAGAGACGGAGGCGGCGGCGGCAGCGAGATAGGTGGCAGTAGGGAGCACCCAACCTTGTCTGTGGTGGCACACTTGGCACCCGTCATCTTAAGGATTTGTAACCTCCTTCCTTTCACCCTAGTCAGGTGCCAGGTGCCGCACACCCACGCTGGCTTGTACATTGTGTTTCATGGAGCGCCAGACTTGTGTGGGTTACAGGCACAATCATGCACTCTGCCCTAGCTCAGACTCGTGGAACTACATGTTCATCTGTCAGCATAGTTGCTGATCCCTTGTATTATATGAATATGTTATCTGAGTATCATAGTACCATCCATATGTTTTACATAGTTGACCCCTTGTTAGGCTCAGTGGCAAGCATGTGTGACGTCACGTGATGCCGCATGGCAAGAAGCCCCTGTCACCTGCCTTTAATATTCTTTGGAATATGAAAGTCAGTCATTAAAAAGGACAGTTATTACCCCATTCAACAAAGGTGGCAATAGCAGTTATAACCTTAACATTAGAACGTTCACAGTGATAACATAACGTTCACAGTGATGATAACATAAGAACGTTCACAGTGATAACATAAGAACGTTCAGTGATAACATAAGAAAGTTCACAATGATGATAACATAACGTTCACAGTGATAACATAACGTTCACAGTGATAACATAAGAACGTTCACAGTGATAACATAACGTTCACAGTGATAACATAACGTTCACAGTGATAACATAAGAACGTTCACAGTGATAACATAACGTTCACAGTGATAACATAACGTTCACAGTGATAACATAACGTTCACAGCGATAACATAAGAACGTACACAATGATGATAACATAAGAACGTTCACAGTGATGATAACATAAGAACGTTCACAGTGATGATAACATAACGTTCACAGTGATAACATAAGAACGTTCACAATGATAACATAACGTTCACAGTGATGATAACATAACGTTCACAATGATAACATAAGAACGTTCACAATGATAACATAAGAACGTTCACAGTGATGATAACATAAAGTTCACAGTGATAACATAACGTTCACAGTGATAACATAACGTTCACAGTGATGATAACATAACGTTCACAGTGATAACAGAACGTTCACAGTGATAACATAACGTTCACAGTGATAACATAAGAGCGTTCACAGTGATAACATAACGTTCACAGTGATAACATAACGTTCACAGTGATGATAACATAAGAACTTCACAGTGATGATAACCTTAGCATAACGTTCACAGTGATGATAACATAAGAACTTCACAGTGATGATAACCTTAGCATAACGTTCACAGTGATGATAACATAAGAACTTCACAGTGATGATAACCTTAGCATAACGTTCACAGTGATGATAACCTTAGCATAAGAACGTTCACAGTGATGATAACCTTAATTAACATTAGAACGTTCACAGTGATAACATAAGAACGTTCACAGTGATGATAACAGCATAATAACGTTCACAGTGATAACATAACGTTCACAGTGATGATAACCTTAGCATAAGAACGTTCACAGTGATAACCTAAGAACGTTCACAGTGATGATAACGTTCACAGTGATGATAACATAACGTTCACAGTGATGATAACATTACAAAATTCAAAATATAACGTACCAGATCAGAAACATTGATGATAGCATGTAGAGCTCCACCGGAAATATGTTAGGATTTAATATTTAGCAGTAACAGCCTAGTTGACCAGGAGGGAACTTGTAGCTCGAGGCTGCGATGGGTACCGCTACTCTAGAAATCGGTCACAGGTATGATATGGTTATATATAACCATGTATACTGATGGTATAGTGCTTTTAGTGCCTGATAAATATACCAAGAATTTAGGTAATACTTATTATTTTGTTAAAAAGTAAATAGTGTATGAATGGTGAATATGAAGAATTATTAACACTGGTTTTTATAATATAAATGGGGTCATCCTTTAGGTGTAGGTGTGGGGGTCCATAGTGGGGGGGGTCCATTGGCTCGATGATGATGAGGCTTCGGGGAAAAATTATGAGACTTCTCTTTGAGGCTATTTGAATATTGTACTTTT